TTTTAAAAAAAAAAAAATTTCGAAAAACGTATTCCCAGAATACGCCTGTTTTATTTTGGTCCACTCATATTTTTTTTCTTTTATTTTTGTCCAGTTAATTTTTTTTATTTTTAAATAAATAAACTACCCAATCAATCCCCTTCTTCACCACCTCTCATCTTTACGCGCTCCAATTTTTGCAGAGGTCATTTCGTTCTCAATTTTTCGCTTAAAATCTTCAGAAATCTCAGCAAGATTGGGCCTTTTCCTGTTATGTAAAATGGCTTTCTTCTTGCTTGTGTTGCAGGTGTGCGCTTCGTCCCAAGAAGGGTTTTCTTGAACCTGAGCTGTGACTGTAAGTGCGAGCTCAGAAAGGAGGGCGGAGAGTACGGCGTCGTTTTGGCCGCTCCTTCTTCAAAAATGGGTTCTCCGCGGCGCCCGTTTCTGATCGCCGCCGTAGCTTGTGCGTTCTTGCTGGGAAATGCTCCGGAGAAAGCCCTAGCGGCAAATTCCCCGTCGGCCTTCGTGGAAAGTGTTATTTACTCCAACAAAATCGCCATCTTCTCCAAATCGTACTGCCCGTAGGTCTTCTTTTTCAAATCAGTACTTTAGCTCCAATGGTTTTTGATTATTGGAATAAGGGATTTTTTTTCCTGCGTACATATTTGAGCTCCCTTCTGTTTTTCTTTGTTCTTTTGATTTTTGTTTGCTTGTATACCTTAAATATCTGGTTGAGCAGTTTTGCTATGAATCGAACAATTGGCTTGGCTCCACAGTGAAGCCAACCTTCTATATACGACAAGTAAACCGTAACATATTAATAAAATTATTAGTATTTAACTATTTATTTAAGTTATCAGAGAATATGGTATGTTTTAGAAATGGCCAGGGAGAAAAGATAAGTAGTTAAAAATATTCTTGTATGAGATAGGTCTAATTGCTTTCGTACTCTTTTTTTAACAAAAACGTACACTTATGCTCTGAAATGTCGTACTTTTGTTTATGATGTTTTTTAGAGTAATGTCATTTCCTGGATTTGAAAGTATGCATATCTATTAAGAAAACGTATGTATCCCTTTGCTTTAGCAGCCTTACTGAAAAGATAAATATGCTATGAGACAATTTAGCAAGGAAGAAAAGAATCAAAAGCTAGTTTCCTCTCTCGTAAGGTTCGATGTGGTGTGTGGATGTGAAGGAGGGAGCTGATTCTGTTATAATGCTCCAATTCCAGATGTAGAATAATGATAATGTATCTTGTAAGTTGTAACCACCAGTTAGCTTGCTCAAAAAATTATTATCGTGGGTGAAGTTTGTTTGAAGCTAATCAAACATAAGTACGATACACATAATGAAGGAAATTGATTCAGTAAATTTTTCTACAATCTACGAATGGAGCTGGAAGAGTCATTGTTGACAATTCTCCTGGCATAGTGCTAATAATGAACTAGATCAAAATGACTCAATTAAATTCTAGTGCTTCTTCTATTAGTGAAGTTTCTAGAAAAAAAAAATATATCAAACGACGCAATGCACCTTGGGTCGCTACGGAAACAGCCTCCTTGTACAATTAAAGGGTAAGGTCTGCGTACAACTGACCCCCCAGACCCCAACCAGTTGGGAATATACTGGGTATGTTGTTGTTGTTGTTTGTACGATTGACTAGAACTTATTTCTTGAGGCAATTAAGTGCATTTGTTAATCATTGGATTGTGACTTCTTCTTTACCTTCCCTTATCACTTGTCAGAATGAATTCTAAAATTGCATCTGTGTGTGTGTGTTCGTTTGTCATGAGGTTTTAGATACTCATTGCGCGCCAAGCGTATATTCAGTGAACTTGAGGAGCAGCCTTATGTTGTGGAGCTTGACCTTCGAGGTAAAATTGTAAAATTTTGAAGTTTCAGTGTCAAAGTATTTAAGGTTCTTAATGAATAAGCGATTGGTTGATGTAAATGCAGATGATGGGTACAAAATCCAGGAAGTTCTTCTGGACATGGTGGGTCGGCGTACGGTCCCACAAGTATTCGTGAATGGCAAGCATATTGGTGGTTCTGATGGTAAAAAGATTATTTCATGTTCCAAGTTTTTTTTAGTTAATCTCTCTCGTATTTTGTTTTGTTTTTTTTTTGGGGGGGGTCATCTGACAAAATGTCCTCGTTTCTTTATTGTTCTTAACTCAGATCTGCAAGCCTCGGTCCAAAATGGTCAACTGAAAAGCCTACTCAGTAAACCTTGATTGAGTTGGTAATACTCAAAGATCTTAGTAGTTAGTACCTTACAGAAGCTAGTTCTTGTAATGAGGTCAAAAGTTTGTAACCCCATCAAACTCCAAATTCACTGGGATTGTTATATTAGATTTACGTAATCGACATTTTTTGAAATAGATTCTGTTGACCATATGGTGTGGTTTTGGTTGCTTCTGTAGCTATGCAAGTTTTTTGAACATGAAAGGACTTGAAATCAGCGCGAATTGGATGCTAATGTGGACTTTTTACATCCAATTTTTATTCGCTGAGCACGTTAAGTTGTGTTTGAAGCATATAATTTTAGTGACCGAGTGCTTTCCTTGAGGCGACAGCATGTATTGTTCGTATACTGATTGGGAGCCGATATTTAATCTTTCCATCTTTTTTTCCAATCAACTTTTGAACTTATCAACATTCACTGTGAATGTTTGGAAAAATTTTGTTACCTTTATGATGGAAGATAAGATATCCTCTCTTTGTAGATTTGGCAGACGAAAAAATGAAAATAAAACGATCAAATCGATTTACACAAGCAGATAGTAGTCTTTCTATGATTCTTGCTTATGATCGATACATAATACAACATAAATGAACCTCTGGCATTCGAATATTCTGAAAGTTGGAAAGGAAGATCGAAACTTCCTCTGATCAAAATTGTTACATAATCTCATACTTTCCGCTCTGCTCCGCTGTAGCTCATCACTTTTACCAGCAAATGCATAAAAAAGCGAAGCGTCTTAAATCGACAGTTCTTGCATTGTCAGACGCCTGGGATGCAAACGAGCAACATTCACGCATATTACACGAAATAACATGTGTAGCAAAGTACTTTGAATACTAAGAACCATGTGAGAGAACAATCACTCGAATCCATCAGGCAAATGCAGTGTTCTA